CACGCTCTGTGGCCCCGTTAGGGAGCTCCACCGAAGGCGGTACTCACCACTGCGGTGCTCGCAACTGCATGTGGTTGGGTCTCTCGCCCGCGTGATTAATCATCTTCCTCCCTTCTTGCCCCTCCCCTTCCTCATTACTCTTCCTCCTCTCTTGCCCCACCTCTTCATTATTCATTCTCTTCCCCCTTCTATTCCTGCTCACCTCTTTTCATTTCCCTCCACTTTCATGTTATCCCCCGAGTTCCGCTATTAGTGGTCGTCTTTCTCTGGTGCCATCGTGGTGGTTAGCAGGTCTCGGCATCATCATTCCATGTCAGCGGCGGTGGGCGTTTGGCGTCTCTGGCGTTGCCACCGACGCATTAGTCACTTGTGCAAAACATGGGCTCACCGAACACGGCGACACTCGTAGGCAGCCACGTTGAATCCGGTGACCCTCCGCCGAAGGTCGGCGATGTCGTTGTTGCTGGTATTGCTCTCGTAACTCTCGTAGTCGATGCCGTTATGCCGGCCTCGGGGTCTTGCCCACTCGCGGCAACCGCAAGAGCCATCGCATCACTAACACTCGGGCGGGGCCAGGACGAGGATTGAGAACGCCGCGACGCCCGATACATTCTCCAGAGCCAGCAGATCTCAGAGATTCTCGATTTCTCGGCACCCGCATGTATCCTCGTCCTGGCTTCGTCTTGAGCAGGCTGGCATTGGACCATCACCTCGCCATGCCGAAGTTGGAATGACGCGGGAATGCACGGGACATCGTGGGGAGGGTGGAGCCAGCCAGGCAGCCCACGCGCACGCCTTTCTCTTCCGCAGGGCAGTTCCTCCCCCGCCTCCTCCTCCTCCTCCTCCTCGTCCTCCTCCTCCTCCTCCTCCTCGTCCTCCTCCTCGTCCTCCTCCTCCTCCTCCTCCTTCTCCTCCTCCTCCTCCTCTCCTCCTCCTCCTCCTCCTCCTCCCTCCTCCTCCCCTCTTCTTTCCTCCTCCTCCTCCTCCTCCTCCTCCTCCTCCCTCTTCGATCGGAATCCTGTGAGATGGCAGCCCTGCCGTGCCGAGATCTCGGCCGCGACAGCTGGGGGCTGCAGTCGGTCCTCCCCTCCGTCTCCACCCCCTCCCGGGCTTGGCCCACCCCCCGCCCCCTCTCTGGCGGCCGGTGCACCTCCCACCGCATCTTCACCCCGCACGGCCGCCGCTCTTGCAGTACAGTCAACCCGCATATGAAGGATAGATTTCCTTCCCAAGGGTACCCTTGCATCCTTGCCTCCTCGGTCCATCCTTCGCCGCTTTCGCTGGCCGCGTCCCGCTTTGCAGTATCCCCTTTCTGGTGCGAGATTTCCCTTGATCGAAGTCGGGCCTGCCCCTCTACAGGAGGAATATTCAAACATAGTAAAAAAACAGTCCAGGGACGATTTGTTGAGTATTTCTGATTATTTCGGGCGTATTTTTTTGTATTTTCATTTTTTCGCCCCAAATCCCCCTGTAGGGGGGCAAGCCCGACCTAATCCTTGATAAGCAATGCCGTCCCGCCTTCGCCCGCAGCTTTCTTGGGCTGTCTCCTCTGTGCGACCTTGCCTCCATTGGTCATCGCGGGATGCCCTGCCTCCGTCTGTCGACATCACTGAGGAGTTGACCATTGCGTTTGCAGTGCAGGCGCCGAAATCAAGACTGTGTTGGGCTGGTTTTCGGGTCGCTGCTAAGATCCGTGTCCTTCTCCTCCTCCTCCCCCTCCTCCTCCCCTTGAGAAACGCTGGAGTCCGGAGCTTGAAACCTTAGGCTTCGGAGTGAAGGTTGCGAGCCTTCCGACTCCCTACACTGCCTGAGCTAGATGTCCTCAGGCTCCAGAGCGAAGGTTTGTAAGCTCTGGAGGTTTAGGCAGCCTCTTGGTAGGGCCCTCGGGATGCCTTTTGAGAGGTCCAGTAGAGGCGCACTGGAGGCCCATTAGAGCGCCCTTAAAGACTCCTTCGGAGGCCCTTCGTGGCCCCTTCGGCGGTGGTGATGGTAGTGGTGGTGATAGTGGTGATGGTGATCGTGATGGTGATAGTGATCTCTTGGGAGGCCCCTCGGGACGCCTCTCCAGAGGCCCATTAGAGGCGCACTGGAGGCCCATTGGAGCCCCCTCAAAGGTTCCTTCGGAGGCCCTCCAGAGGCCGCTGTGGAGGCCCTAAGAGGGCCTTGCGAGAGGCCCCTCAGGAGGTCCTGCCTCGCAGGAGGCCCTGACGCGGCCCCTCAACGACTCCGGGGAGGCTCTGCCTCTCGCCAATTTACGTCGACGTTTTTCGACTTCGAGAGGCCCCTCAGGAGGTCCTTCAGAGGCATCTCAGGAGGCCCTTACGCGGCCCCTCAACGACTCCAGGGAGGTTCTGCGGGTGCTCCTGGAAGACTTGGATTGTGATCGCGATGATGGTGGTGGTGGTGGTGGTGATGGGTGGTGATGGTGATGGTGATGGTGATGATGATGACGATGAGGATTATGAGGATGCCAGTGCCGATGGCAATGACGACGCCGATGATGATGAGGACGACGAGGACGATTAAGATTACGATGATGATGGCGACGACGATGGTGATGGCGATACTGCTAATTATGCTGCTACTGCTGATGATGGTGATCGTGGTGGTGATTATGACGGTCGTGATGATAAGTTGATGATGGTGATGATGTTGATGATGATGATGATGATGATGCTGATGACGATGATGATGATGATGCGGATGCTGCGGCGGATGATGATGTTGATGATGCGGATGAGGATGAGGATGATGAGGAGGACGATGCTGATGGTGGTGATGATGATGATGATGGTGGTGGGGATCATGATGTTGATGATGCCGATGATGATGGTGATGATGATGATGATGCTGACGATGATGATGATGATGATGGTAGTGGTGATCGTGACTAGGATGACGACGATGATGATGAGGAGGATGCAGATGAGGATGAGGCTAAGCATGATGATGATGGTGGTGGTGGTGGTGATGGTGATGGTGATGGTGATAATGATGCTGCTGATGAATCTGATGATGGTGATGACGATTGTGGGGATGTTTATTGAGGATTCTGGATAGTGTGATGGTGGCGGTGGTGGTGATGGTGATGGTGATGGTGGTGATGATGCTGATGATGCTGATGATGTTGCTGATGCGGATGATGGTACTGATGCTGATGCTGATGGCGTTGACGACGGCGACGCTGATAGGGAGAAGGGGAAGACAGAGACAGGCTGGAGGATCATCATCCTGCCTCCTCCCTCACCCTCCCTTCTCCGAGGGCTTTGCCCTCCTCCGAACACCTCCCCCTCATCCGATCTCCGTCCCCTCCCCCCGCAAGCCTCCCCCACCTCGGAAGGCCTCGCCCTCCTTCAAGACCTCCTCCTCATCCGAGCCCCTCCCCCGTTCCCCTCCTCCGAAGGCTTCGCCTCCTCCGGAGGCTTGACCCTTGTCCGAAGACCTCCCCCTCCTCAAAAAAAAACCTCACCCTCCGAAGACTTCGGACAACTTCTTCCTCATCCTGACGCCCCCCCCCCTTTTCCAGGAAAACGTCCCTCTCCTCCGGAGGCTTCGCCCTCCTCCGGAAATCTTCCCTTCATCCGAAAACCTCCCCGTCCCCTGAAAGCCTCCCCCTTCTCCGAAGGCTTCGCCCTCCTCAGAAAACCTCCTATCCGAAAACCTCCCCCCTCTCCCTGGAAACCTCCCCTCACTCAAAGAATTTGCCCTCCTTCGAAGCCCTCCTCGTCCGAAAGTCAGTCTCCCCCTCCTCCGAAAGCCTACCCCTCCGAGGCGTCGGAAAGTTCAGAACTCCCGCCTCATCCGAAAACCTCCTCCTCATGGGGGAGGGGGAGGAGGAGGAGGAGGAGGAGGAGGAGGAGGAGGAGGAGGAGGAGGAGGAAGAGAAGGAGGAGGAGGAGGAGGAGCAGGAGGAAGACGAGGGTCCAAAGAACCAGGAGGAGGCCAAAGGAACGCGGGGAGGAGGAGGGGGAAGGAGGGGCCGTCTTGGCCCCCGCGTCCAGAGCGATGCCGAGCATATAGGTATGTGGGCGTGCCCTCTTCTCTTCCTCCTCCTCCTCCCCCTCATCCTTCTCATCCTCCTTCTCCTCCTCCTCCTCCTCCTCCTCCTCCTCCTCCTCGCAGTCGTGGATTTGTTTTTCGTTTGGTTCCTATGGAGGTTCTGCCACCCAGGAAGAATTTGGCCTCCGAGTGCTCTGGTGATCTCGATAGTGTCAGACGGAGTAAAACGAGAACTCTCTCGCAGGGAGGCCGCCCAAGGATCAGGCGGCCAGCCGAGCCAAGCCATCCGCTCAGCTCGCCAGATGTGGATTTCGCAGCGCGACCGACTCGGCAGGAAGAGGCGCCAAGCTCCGTAGCGCCGCCTGGGGCCCCTCCGTGGTTGGCATGGATCGCAGCGCGAAGGGGCCCATTCCACTCCATCTCTCTAGGCCTCCCAGATGGGTTCGGAGTAGATGGGGTCGGAGGATTGCGCCGCATCGCTGATGCATCGACGATGCGGCTTGATGCGGAGCCCGATTTTCACCACGCCGACGGCGCCAACGCATCGCCGGTGCATCGCCGATGCATCGCCGATGCATCGCCGATGCATCGCCGATGCATCGGCGGTGCGGCGCGATCCTCCGACCCCAGCTGCCCCGACCCCATCTGGGAGGCCTCTCACCTCCCCCCCGTCCTCCCCCCCGCTGCTCTGCTGCCGCTGCCCGTCGCTGCCCGTGGCCGCTGCCCGAGCTCGGGCGCGCGGGGGCGCGCCCCCGCGCCGAGGCCGCGGGCGCCGCGCCCGCGGCGGCGCGGCCCTCGGCGGGCCCGCGCCCATGGCGCGCGGAGCGCGGCCGCCCGCGGCCCGCGCCCTCGGCGCCCTGGGCGCCTGGGCCCTGGGCGCCCTGGGCGCCCGGGGCCCCGCGGCGCCGCGGCGGCGCGCCCGCGGCGGCGTCGGGTGCGGGGGGGGCGCGCTGGCGCTGCCGCTCGCGCCGGGGCTCCGCGGGCGGCGCGGGGCGGCGGCGCGGGCGGCGGCGCGGGCGGGGGGCGGCGCGGAGCCGCCGGCGTGGTGGGAGCTGGAGGCGGAGCTGCCCTCCAGCCTCGAGGTGGAGCCGCGGGTGATCGACTCCGCGCTGGACCTCTGTCGAAGGAGGAAGCACGCCACGAGCAGCAAGCTGTTGGCGCTCCAGGGGAGCCGCGCGGAGCGCCAAGAGTTTGTGTGTTGTGGCGTTTTTTCTTCTTCTTCTTCTTCTACTCGGAGCTGGGCCTCCCGCATTGCCCGAGCGGATGGGGTTGCTGTCTGATTTTCCCCATGCCGACGTCGCCGATGCATCGCCGACGTTTGCGACGCATCGGCGATGCATCGGCGATGCGGCGCGATCCCTGACCCCATCTGCTCGCGCCCCATTTGGGAGGCCCCGGTCAGAGGAGGGAAGATGCCGATACTGGTGCCCGTCCCTCGTTGGCACGGCCGGGATGTCGCCCCGAACTCTTGGTCAGAGCGCCCTCTCGATCGGCGAGGTCTGGGAGCAGCGGTCACGGTATGTTTTCCAGACATCGGGCGTGTCGAACAAAAAACGAGACAAAGGTTTGCCTTCGTTTTCGGCCTCTCGGGGCCTTCGCCAGGCCGCGGGACAGGCAATCAAACACCTCGGGATGAAACACCGGTCCTGGGGAAGGTGTCGGGAGGTCGGGGTCCCGTGTTTCGGACAAATCGAGACGTCGGATGTCTGGATTGTTTCATTCCTCCAGGACCCGTCCGAGCCGGATCTGAAGGCCCTGGGGCTTGGGGCCGTCGGGGGAGCGGGCGGGAGTCCGAGGTTCGGGTGCAAAAGGTAATGTTACCTGCGCGTTCGGACTCTATCGTAGCTGTGCTAGCAGTGAGTTTCTAGTCTGCATCTAGACATGGTCTCACACAGCGTGGTTCGAGAACCGCCTGGCTTGTCGCAACACGCCTGGCTTGTCCCCGAGCGCACCAGGAGGGCCCAAGACGGCCGAAGACAGCTCACGAGTGGCGCAAGAGGGGCCGAAGAAGGCCCAAGAGGGGCCAAGACGGACCCAGACAGCCCCAAGACCCAAGACGCCCCAGCACAACCCCAGAGAGCGCTAGTACGGCCGAAGAGGGCGCTTGACGGACAACCAAGAGGCTAAGCCATACAACAAACAAGACAGCTTATGACCACACGGGCTCCCAGGGGGTCTCCAGACGGCCCAAGAGGGCCCCACGCTGGCCCCCAAGGGCTTCAGGAGCGCCCAGGACGGCGCGAAGTGGGCCCCCCGAAGGCCCTCCCAAACGGCCCCAGGACACCCCGCGACGGATGCGTGAATGTTGCGCCATGGGATGGCCTCAACTTATGTTTCGAGCGCGTGTGTGCAGAACTGCCTTGGTCTGCACTCTTTGTGTTTGGCTGGACCGTTCTCGAGAGGGCGCCGCGGCCGTCATTTTCGAGGCTTGCGCCCGCCAGGATTTGGCCCTGGTCGTTTTCACGAAACCACCTTTTATCGATGGGGGCCCTGTCCGTCCCCGAGGGAGGCAAGCTTCCTCTTGCGCCGAGGCTGCCGCACCGGCGCGCTCTGGGATCCGAAGGGCTGCGCCCTCCGCCGCCGCCCCCGCCGCCCATGCCGAGCCGTCCTGCGCTCAGTCTCGGCACGGGCCATCCTGGGGCGTCTCGAGGTCATCTTTGGACCCTTAGCTTGGTATCGCTCGGACGTGTGCACTTTTTCCTCGGCGGGGATGATTCAGGAGCATCCTGGATCATCCTGCGAGAAAAAACCACGCACGAAACCGAAACGAAAAGACACAGGGAATGGACGTCCGAGCGATGGCCAGTTGGGGCCGTCTTCGAGCGTTCTGCAATCCTGGCCCTCTCCTGGGGCCACAGGCGCCCGTCTTGGGGGCACCTGGGGGCCACTTGAGGGCCTCGTGTGCGGCCGTCCTGGGCAGCAGGCGCCGGGCCTCGAGGCGGGCCACACCGACATTGGGACCGTTTGGGGGCAGTATCGCTGGCTCTGGGGGCCGTCTTGAAGCGACCTTGGGACATGATGGGTGCAACGCGCGGGGCGGGCAAAGCACACAGAACGCAGTAGGGCGGTTCGATGTGCTTTTCTTCGTGGGGGGGGGCCTCTCGCCCCTCTCCCCCCCTTGGGCCTTCTTCGAGGCATCTCGGGGCCATCGTCGGCCCTCCTGGACCCCTGGGGCCGCCTTCGGAGCCCCTTGGGGCCGTCCTTGAGGCCTCTTGGCGCCCCTCTGGGGATCCTGGGGGCGCCCGGGAGGCGGCGCCGCCCCCCCCCCCTCCCCCCCCCAACAGGTGTTGTTCTTGATGTCGCGGGCCCCTGGAGCAGTGGGGGCGCGTGCCAGGAAGCTGCCGGCGACTTGCAGCTGGGGAGCCCAGGACCTGCACACCCGGGGTCCATCGGAGCCCTTAAGGGTTCCACGGCTTCGTTTTTTTTTTTTTTGTTTTGTTTTTTCTCCGGAGCTGCCTTGCGGAGGCAGTCCTGCTGCGAGTTGTAGAGGGGGGGCAGAGCTGGAGTGACGAGGCCCCGAAACACAAGCTGCGGCACGGGAGCCCACGACAGCAGTCCAGTAGCACTCTTCGCAACCCCGCGCCACACCAGCCAGCGCGATACCTCGAAGCTCGTTCGTGTCAGTGCCCTCCTCCCCGCAGGGGCTGACCCTGTTCCGCGAGCGGCACGGCTGGTGCCCCTACTCCGAGCGCGTCTGGCTGGCGCTGGAGGCCAAGGGCCTCAGGTACGAGACGGTGCTCATCGACAACACGGGGCCCGGGCGCAAGCCGCGGTGGTGGGGAGGCAGCACTCCCCAGGTGCGCTGGGCGGACGGCAGGACCCAGAAGGAGTCGCTCGACATCGTGAGGAAGCTGGACGCGGAGTACCCCGAGAGCCCCCAGCTGTGGCCCGACGAGGAGGTGACCAGGCTGGTGGACGCCTTCAGGGACATCTTCCCGAAGGGCACCAGGCCCTCGTCGCGGGCGGCGTTCCTGTTCTCGGGCTACGGCGACATGCCGGTGTGGAGGTCGGAGTTCGAGAAGACGCTGACCAAGACGGACGAGCTGCTCGGGAAGCACGGCGGCCCGTTCTTCTACGGCGCCAGGCTCACGGCCGCGGACGTGGCCTGGGCGCCGTTCCTGGAGCGCTACTCCGAGCAGCTGCCCTGCCTCCACGCCGGGCTGGACCCGCGGGACCCAGGCCGGTGGCCGCGCCTGTCCGCGTGGTACGAGGCAGGGCTGGACCTAAACGGTGTTTTTTGGTGATTTCGTGGGCCGTTTTCGTTTCGACTTCGCTCTGCGGTGCAGGCGGATTCGAGGCAGAGGCGAGGGAAAACGAAAGCAAAGCGAGAACGAAACACACCGTTTAGGTTCAGCCCTGGTACGAGGCCATGATGGACAGGGTGCCGGCCTATCCAGCCCGCCTGCGGCAGTTCCCGCCGCCGTGGCAGCTCGGCACCCCGGGTCGCGACCCGCTCGAGGAGCGCGCAGGATGCCGCCACGCGTGGCCCAGCGCGCCCTGCCCGACCGATCTGCGCGAGCGCCAGGTCCGCGGCAACAGTCTAGGCCTCCTAGATAATTAGGGGTCGGAGCAGATGGGGTCAGAGGGTCGCGCCGCATCGCCGATGCATCGCCGATGCGGCTCGATGTGCAGCCCGATTTGCTTCACGTCGACGTCGCCGATGCATCCATCGCCGATGCAACGCCGATGCATCGGCGATGCGGCGCGGCGCGCGCGATCCTCCGACCCCGTCTGCTCCGACCCCATCTAGGAGGCCTCCAAACAGGCGCCCCTCGCCAAGACGGGCTGCGGCCCGTCTTCGACGGCCAGATGTGAACCTTGACCTCACCCCGCACGACTTCCAAGGGGGGATGGGGGTTCATTTCGCTCGGGAGCTCCCCAGCGGAGTGTTCCCCCGCCCCCCCTTTGGAAATCGTGGGGGGTCGGGGTAGGGGTTCGCATGTGGCCACCTACGTCTGCCCCCGCCCCTCGGGGGCAACGGTGGGGGGGGGTACGCATAGGGGGGATGCATCGACCCCCAATCGTCCATTGATCGCCGATAGGGGCCAGATAGCCCCAACCTGCCCAAGGAGGTGCGGGTTCACGATCGGAGGCCCATCGCCAATCTATCGGCGATGTACCGCCGATTCCACGTCGATGC